TGGGTGAACTGCTTCCATAGATTTAACCCCATCAAGGTCTTTTGCAGGTTCTTAAACTAAAAATTAAATTAGAAGAATTTCTGAACACAGCAGAGGAAAATTTCAATGATAGACTGACATGAACCTAACACACACACACACACACACACACACACACACACACACACTGATACATCAAATCAGATAGCAAAACACCCATTTACAAAGAGAGAGAGATTTTTTCAGTGAGAAATATGAGTGTCCTCTGTCAGAAGCTTGTGGCTTCTTACATCTGGGATATGCCTGCAGAGTATAAAACCACTAGTGGTTGGGAGATTGGGATTGACATATATGCACTATCAATAATATGTATAAAATAGATAACTAATGGGAATCTACTGTATAGCACAGGGGACTCTACTCAATACTCTGTGGTGACCCTAATGGGAAGGAAACCCAAAAAAGAGGGGAAAAAAATGAAACCACTAGTGGATCCTTCCCTCAGTGGGCCTCATTAGATGCAGTGGGGCTGGGAGTCAAGAGTTTCTAGTTCGTGTCAGTTTCTGGAATCACAGTGCCTTAGAGTTCACTTTCCCAGGTTCATATTGTTCACAAGCAGAGGATCTGGGGACTTGAACCCACTTCTGTTTGGCTCCAAAACACGTGCTCTTAGACAAGTCACTGAACTGCCTCTTCAGTGACAAGAATGGTCATGTCCCTGGCAGTTGGTATCTCTGCCCTGGACACTGGTAGGTATGACCAACAAAGGTGGCCTTTCTTTCCTATTTTGCATACTGAAGTAGTATGCTTAAACATTGATGACCAAACTACTATCAGTATATTTTTCCTCACAGGCTTGGTAGATATATTGTCTCTTTCTACTCTGTATTTTTTATTTTGTTTAACTCTTGGAGTGTGGATCAACTGAAGCTTTTTTAGTTGTAATTAAGAGAAAATCCAACTCAGATTGGAAATATATTGTTATTGAGCTGAAAAGCACAGAGGCAGGGCTAGGTCAGAGAGGCCTGTTCAATAGCTTGGTGATGTCACTAGGTACTTGGTCTCATTCTGTCTCTCCATTCTGCCTTTGATGGTGCCCACTTCATCCCTACGCTGGCTCTCTTCATGGCTCCAGTCGTTCCCCCACATCTAAGGACTTCCATTCTTCCTTGTTTATAACCAGCAGGAAAGCAGGATTGTCAGTTCCCAGAATTCCAAGGAAAAGTCATGTAGCCAAATCAGACTTAGGTCAAACGTCTATCCTGTTTCCAAGGGGATGCAATATTCTGATTGGCTTAGCCTAGCTTGTATCTTCCACACCTGGAACTGGAGTCGGTTTCCTCAGAGCTGTCAGAAAAGAGGGAGGGGAAGCTGGATGCTGGGAAGGCCACCAAGAAGTCTCTACTGAAGACGTTAAAATTATTTCCTCATCCCTAAGTACCTGGTTGGAGTATGAGGGAGAGGACTCACTGTCCTTCTCCACCCCTTCCACCCTTTCCCTTCCCTCCCCATCTGTCTGCCATAATGAACTGCCAAATAGTGAGGGGCAGACACCAAACACGATGGGAAGAGGGGGAGGTTGACTGCATGGACTCCTTCAACAGGTCACCTGCCCTTGGACGCCTGGTTGAGTTTGGCCAGTAGGAAGCTCAGGCGGGAGGTTGGTGAACTGGGGCGCCCATTCTCACTATCAGCTTTGCACTCTTACTGAGGACGTCAGCTCCTGTTGGGAGATTGTTCTCCATGTAGCTACGCTTGGGATTCTGGTAACTTCTCCCCCTCTTTGCTTCTTTGGATCTGGGGGATGGTAACTGGCTCTGTTTCTTCTAGCACGTAGATTCTGCGCTGTCCCTTTTGGTTTCCCTCCTGCACGCAGTTCCATCGTTGAGCCCTTGTGCGTCCAGCTTGCATGTGCCGCACTTCCCTGCCAGGACCCTGACTGCCACATAGCTTCATTATTTACACAGGGATATTTCAGGGCAGGTGAAACACGTGCCATCTCGCGGCTGCATTCTCCCTCTGCCTCAGGGTCTATGCTCTTCTGTTACTTAGTCCATCATCTTTTCATCATCAGAGTCTTAACACTGTTACAGTCTTAACTACGTGGTAGTTTAAACCACACATGTACGAAGACACCACTTTTAGAAGGTACGCTATTCACCTTGCTGTCATTACTGGAACCCATGCAGTTATTCATGGCTGAATTTTAGTGGTCAGGCAGGCTCTGTGGTGTGAATGGGTTGACTGAGCTGAAGGGATCAGTGATCAAGTGGACAGAGGAAACATGTTTTGATATTTTAAGTGCTGAGACAGAGCTAAAGCTTGGGCTTAAAAGGAAAAGTGGGAAAACCCAAGTCAAGGATGGAACCTCCAGTCTCAAGCCTCTGGGAGCCTTCTGCTTCTGCAGCTAGCTGTCTTAACTGCAAAATGCACATTTAAAAAAGCAAGACTTCCCGGGCGGGGGTGGTGGAGCTGGGGTGCGATGAGAGGATGATGCCAGGGAAGCTGTCACACTCGCTCAGCCTCCAACCCATGGATGAGCCCGTGGGCCCAAGCGCTCGTCCTGGGAGAGGTGGCACTGCTCCCTTTGACGCTAGGTCCCTTGTCACCAGAGCTCATTATCTGCTCAATGTGAGTCACCGAGTCCCGCTCGGCGGCCCCCCACACCCTTTACCTGGAGGAGGCTCTGCGAGCCTTCCTGGTGGGAGGACATGGAACAGGGAGGGCCCCAGGCATGAGCCTCCCGGAACCCAAGAAGAACTTGGGCTTTCTCTTTTCTCCTTTTTAGAGAAGCTTGTGGAACAAGGGAGGGGAGAGGAAGGGGCAGGAGAGTGGGAGGGAGAGAGCTTCGTGCAAGTACCTGGGCTTCTGCGTCATGGCTGGCAGAGGAGGGGGACCTGGGAGTGTCTCCCGGTTCACAGAGGCGAAAACCCAGCACTGTCTAGACCCCATTGACACTGTGTAGTTACAGCTGCAGCCCCACTCTCTGCTCCTTGTGCCTGGTCAGGTCCCGCTTGGCTGGTTTCCAATGTCCTCCAGCCTGTCGCCCCCTCATTCCTGTCCATTCTGCCTCGGGATCTTTCTCCAGCCCGTCTCCATCTGTCCGTCTGCATCAGCACTGCCTGGCTCAGGGCCACGCCCTCCCTCACTTAGACCGTGGCCACCTCTTGACTGCGCTCCTTACTGCCGTGCCCTCTGGTCCCGTGAAAGCGCCGTGTCTGACATGCCCCTTAGCCCAGTGTCAGCTGCCCTCCCCGCTCACACACCTGCCTAATGGAAGGTGGTTCTCACGTCTGTGTCCCTGGACCAGGAGTCCTGGGGGAGCCCTTGTCCCATTCATCTCTCTATATACCTAGCACCTGGTATAACATTCAACCAGAGCTGCTGAACTGGAGCAGTTGTGCCCCCCAGGGATGCTGAGCAAGGTCTGGAAACATTTTTGGTGTCAGAACTTGGGGTGTCACTGCCAGTTATTGGATAGAGGATGTGACTAAACATTCTGCAGTGCCAGGGACGGTGGCCCTGCCCACCCGCAGCAAAGGACTGTGCTCCCCAAATGTCAATAGCGCCAAGGTTAAGAAGCCCTGCTTAAGCCCACGTAGGTACTCAGTGCTTGCTGAATGAATACATTATAGAAAAGGCTATGAGATACCGGGTGCTTACCAGCTGCCACATGCTATGCTGACTGCTTGCCCTGTCTTGTCTTGAATCTTCCCTTCGACCTACCAGGAGGGTGTGGGTGTATATTCCTTATGCCTCAGCACCCCTGCATCTAACATTATGCCTGACATCTAAAGGGGCTTAATAGACATCTGTAGAAAGTGAAGCCCAGAGAGGTCATCTGACCTGAGTGTGGCCCAGCTGGACTCTGACACTGTCCATGTTCTTTCCATGACACTCTGCCGAGTAAGAGCTGCCTACAATTTCCAGTGGCTTTTACGCTTGCAGGTGGACTGGCCTTTGGAAACGTGGGCGAAGCAAGTTTTATTCGGCCCCCTTTAGAGACGGGAAAGTTGAATTCTGGGATCCTCAGTGATGGCTCAAGCCTTCCAGGAAGTCAGTGGTGGGTCCCAAATCTCAGTCTTTTCAGAAGAAATAACAGGTGGGTGGGTGAAGGCAGAGGGGTGGGGTCTGTTTCTTCTGACGCTGAGATGAATAGCATTTCCTCTGCCAGAGCCCCTTGACTAGACTCTAAAGTAACCATGTCAGGGTCTGTGGTTGATGTATGTGGGGCTTTATCCAGTTAACTGGGGTTTTATTGCCATTTCTAGCCTCAAGAGGAAGGGGATATGAGGATATATGTATACATATAGCTGATTCACTCAGTTGTACAGCAGAAACTAACTTAACATTGTAAAGCATTTATACTCCAATAAAGATTTGAAAAAAAAAAAGTGAATTAGAAAGACCCCTGAATTTGAGTCAGGACCTGGCTCTGTCAGTCTGGGTGGCCTTGGCTAAGTTCCTTGCACTTGCCTAATCTCATTTTCCTCTTTGGTTAAGTGCAGAGGAGGTAGTTTGGAGGCACAAAGGAGATAAGGTGTAGGAAAACTTGCATCCCATCTCGAGTTCTATTCCAACGCACAGGATCTGTACGAGGGGCTGATCTTTGCGCTTAAAAGTGACCCTTGGTCGTGCTAAGTGAAACAAGCGACAGGAGGGCAAATACCGTGTGATTCCACTTATGTGAAGTATCTAGAAGAGTCAGATTCATAGAGACAGAAGGCAGAACCCTGGTTACCTGGGGCTGGGGGACGTGGGGATGGGGAGTTAGTGTTTAATGGGTACAAAGTGTCTATTAGGTGTGATGAAGATGTTCTGGAAATAGTGATGGTTGCACAATGTTGTGAATATACTTAATGCCACTGAATCGTACACTTAAACTGGTTAAAATGGTACATTTTATGTTATTACAGTACCACAATAAAGAACAAATTAAGAATTGATTCTTGGTTTTTCAAAAGGCTTTGTGTTTGGTCTCATCAGAGTTCTTAATCCAACTTTTCATTTTCTGAATGAAGCTGTCTAGGTGAAGGGAAACCAAATGACCAGCTCAAGGACCCATGCTAGGTGGAACCACGAGGAGCACAGGACCCAGACCACATGACTTCCAGCTTGCTGCATTCCTCTTTGTCCAGTCAAAGCCTCCTTAGCTGTGGGCAGGCTGCTGGTCGTCGGAGAAGCTGCCTGCAGAGATGCTGGGACACGCTTTTTATGAACCAGGAATCCAGGACAAAGGTAAGGAATATTCACAAAGACCAGAAACCAAGCAGATACAGGTGTTTGGGGCATCAAGGCACTTGCTGCATGAAACAAGGGGCGTCTGTTTTGCTTTGTGTGGATGAATCTACACTGGGGTGTTTGGATCAGATGAATGACAGCCGCACGAGCGGGTGCGGTAATCCCAGAACCCACACGTCTGTCCACCCCCGTGTTCTTTGGGCTCGGTGCCCAAGTGATTGTTGAGCAAATGCATAAATAAGCAAACACACTGGATGGAAGGAGCGAGGAGTCACATCCAGTGTTGAGTCTCAGATTTGCCCCTTACTACCTGAGACCTGGATTAGAGTCACTTACCCTTTCTGAGGCTCAGTTTCCTCACCTGTAAAATGGGATAATAATAGTGCTTAATTCACAGGCTGGTCTGGAGGAGTAAGTATCGAACGTGATGTATTTTTAATAGGCAATAATGATGTATTAAGCATGGATTTATACTCGGGTGTCTTCTCTGTTAAACATAGCGCCAAAAACAGACGTCTTCAAGGGGATGCCAGTATAATGGGGGTGATAAAATAGGTGGAGGACGAGCCAAGACCGCATGTGAACGCTGCTGTCCAAGGTGGTGCAGAGAGCAGCCTCTGCCTTTGCGATTTCAGGGAAGTCTCTCCTCATTCTGTCTTCAGTTGTTCAGCAGGCGTGATGTTCGTCTCCTTGCTCAGCCAGCCCTTCAGAAGTGTTGCAGTTTCCACAGGAGATAAAAATCTCCAAAAGGCTTTTGGGAGCAGCAAAGCACTGTGCGTGTGAGCTGTAGTCATGTCAGGTGCTGAGGGAGGGAGGAGTCAGGCCACGAACCGCTGCCTTTGTGCCTCTGGGGCTCCACATTCGCCATGCGAAATGGGGGCCCACTCCTCCGGGGGCCGGGGGCCCAGGTGAGCTTGTTCCTCGTAAGATGCTGTCCCCGGAATAGCAACGTTTCTGAACTTCTCAGCAGAAAGGCCTCGCAGGCTTGCAAGACAAGCCTATCATTATACTTTTTGATTTGGAAAGTAGCGTGCCTCAAGCTTGAAGTGGCGGGCAGTGTGGGTAGTCACGCCTTGGTTTCTTTTCCAGAAAGTCCTCAGCTAGGTACAACACACCTTTGATGAATGTACAGTAGAGTTTTTTCTTCGCTTGATTTTGAAGACCTCATTAATGCCTTCAGAATATGAATGGCTTCTGTTTCCAGCCCTGGAGCTTGAACCTGAAACTGAAACTTTTTAGGGTCTTTCTCACTCCACGTGATTTTCTTTACCAGCCGTCCGCAACTCTGGTCATATTAACACAGGCAAGGTGATAACAGCAGGGAGGGGAGCGGACTGACAGGGGGTGAGGGCCTACCATGCCTGTGGCGCTCTACAAACGTGATTTCTTAAACTCACAAACACCCTGGAAGGTTGCCACTAATAACACTGGTTAAAGTCAGGCAGCCGTAACTCAGGGAAGTGAAGTACATTGATCAAGGTCACGAGGATGGTGACAGACTAGCCTGAGAGGTGGGGCGCGTCAGACACAGGCTCATGCACCCCTGCCACTGCACGATAGCCTCCCAGGCCTCCGCGGCTGGGCCGGGTGTGTGGGGTGGGAGTGAAGAGGACACATTATAAAGGGAGATGCTCTAAATGAATGAATGGCTGTCAACAGAGACAGAGGAGAAAAGCACCCCAGACAGCCTGGGTTCGGCTGCTTAAAATAGGCAAAGAAATTCTTCGGCTAATGCATAATCACCACAGGGATTAATGCAGCTCTGCTCCTCGGGGTTAATTTATACTCCATGAGCCCCTATTAGATGAGATTTCTAAAATGCATAAGAGCACGGAGCTCGTTAGGGACTTTCATAAAAGCCTGGTATGGGAGAAGACAGGGAGGCTGGTGCCGTGAAGCCAGCCCAGAATAACCTGGGTTGGGCTGCCTGTGGGGGCAGGTGCAGGAGTCGCTGCCGACTTGCAGGGCTCTGGTTGCCGGTGGAGTCGTCACTCTTCCTGGCCCCATTTAGCATCAAAGGAAAGCACAGGGCTGGAGAGCAGGGGAGCTGGGTTCTCCTCAATTCCCAGAAGAGTGGAGGCAGGAAGGACCTTGGAGGTCACCTGGGCCAATCCTCCTCTCCCACCCACTGCTGGATAGAAGGGGGCACTGAGGCCCAGAGAGAAGTAAGCTCCCGGTCGAGTGAGCTTCTGGATCCAGCCAAGCGCCCTGCAGTTCCGTCCAGCCTTCTCTGACAATGTCTACTGCTCCTGTCTTCATCCCTCAATCAGCCCTAAGTCCAAGTTCCTGCTCTGGGATAGAAGGTGTCACTCATTGGTTTGTTCATTCTCCCATTCATTCAGTTGTTGAACAAACCTACTGCCCACCTCCTGACCAGGTGCTGTGTTCTGCTCTGGGAAAGGCAGTCAGGCATCACCCTGCCTGCTCCCTCAGAGAACTTGGTCTGGTGTGCAAGGTGCAGTTATAACAATGGTTTCTTTTTCTTTTCTTCTTTTTTTTTAAAAAACTTAATTATTTGGCTGCGCTGGGTCTTAGTTGCGGCATGCAGCATTTTTAGTTGTGGCATGTGGGGTCCAGTGAACCTTTAGTTGCGGCATGTGGGGTCCAGTCCTCTGACCAGGGATCGAACCCGGGCCCCTGGCATTGGGAACGTGGAGCCTTAGCCACTGGACCACCAGGGAAGTCCCATAGCAGTGACTTCTGAGTTTTCTTCTAGCTCTACTGTTCCATGAATCGGTGCTGAATAATTAGAGAATCTCCTGAGTAGTTTGGCTTCTCCAGTCTCTGTCTGTCGGTCCAGGAAACATGCACTGTCAGATTAACCTTCTGGAAAACAACTCCGGGAACTCGACATCCTCAGTGACTCCCTGTTGCCTCGACAGACTCCAAGCTCTGAATCCCCTTTAGATCGTGTACCCCTCACATCTGGTCAATACAGAGTCCCTGGCTGGTTCTGGAGCACACGCCATCTGCTATCCTTCCTTCAACAGTAGGACACCTGGGTTCTTGTTGGTCCACATGGCAGGCCTTCCTTCCCCACGTCCACCTACGGGAATCACACTCTTTAAGGCTCACATGTCATGGCAGCTCTTCCAAGAAGACCTTTCTGAACATTTTCAAGACAGACCATCCCTTACATCTCTGAACTCTTCTTAAAACTCTTAACTCTTTTTTTTTTTTTTCTTGCGGTACGCGGGCCTCTCACCGTTGTGGCCTCTCCCGTTGTGGAGCACAGGCTCCGGACGCGCAGGCTCAGCGGCCATGGCTCACGGGCCCAGCCGCTCCGCGGCATGTGGGATCCTCCTGGACCGGGGCACGAACCCGCGTCCCCCGCATCGGCAGGCGGACCCCCAACCACTGCGCCACCAGGGAAGCCCTAACTCTTAACTCTTGGTTGTATAATTTCTAGAATCTTTAGCTCACACTTAAGCCCTGTGTACCTCAGTTTCCTCATCTGTAAAATGGGAAAATGGTAATACCCATCTTACTCGTTGTGAAGACTGAATACATAGGTATGTGAACTGGAGCAAATCGACTAGGTCAATCAATGTTATTTGTTGTAATGATTGTGTCCATTATTGTTACGGCACTTTTGGACATAGAGTCATACCCATTTATTTTTACACTTTACAGCACCTGTAGGCCGTTTCTTCCATGTAAGTGATTGTTCAATGAACAGTATTATTTAAGATATTCAACCCTTTGTTCATTGAACAGAGGTGTCCTGGTTGCCTGCGAGGCCCTGGGTGTTGAGAACACAGGGGAAGGAGGCACGGGCCTGCCCTCCAGCAGCTCATGGTCTGGAGGGGGACAAACACACAGCACAAAGCAGGCTGCCCTGGGGCAAGGGTCACAGAAGGGATAGGTGCTCAGGGTCCTGCAGGTCTAAGTGGGGGGGTTCATTGTGCTCAGGAACAATAAAAGTAATGGCTCACCCCGTAGGAACTTAAATGGCCTTTTTCTTGTTACCTAAACTTTGGCTGAGCCTCCAAAGTTGAGAACAAATAATATTAAGTGGCCACAGATTCTGAACAATGAAGAGAGAGAATCTATGAAGAACGGCCAAGGTACGGCCCCTAAATCAGTCTAAAGGCCCTTCACTCCCAGGGAGGGCAGAAAAGAATCGCAGGGAGGTTGACGGAAGGGACGGAGGTGGGATTCTCTGCAGTGCTGGGGCGTCCTGTGCCCTTCTGATGGGGTCGGCAGGGCAGGTGAGGGGGCCGCGGGCTTCCCTAGTACCATTTAAAGAGCTCGGCCTTGGGCATTTCAGGGTGCAGGAGTGGCCCAGGGGAGTGGAATGAGAGCCATGTGGATAACGCAGGGCAGGAAGCCAGCCACGAGTGTCTGGCCGTGGGCCCAGGTGTGTCCTGGGATGGTCAGCTGGAGGCGGGGGCTAAGGGGACATCATAAGCCATAAGCCAGAGGTGACATCAGTCAAGTTAGGGGACTGCGGCCAGAGGTCCGCAGTGGACATGTTTCTCCCGAAAGAGCTCCACGAGGAAAGGGGTGAGTATTTAGACACCTGCCATATCCTGCCATTATCCTCTCATTAGTGGGACAGTTTCTGCTCCTTCTGTCCTCACAGGGGTCCCTCTCTTCCCACTCAGCCCTGGAGGAGTCAGAGGCAGCCTAGAGGGAGGAGGAAAGAGGAATGATACTGACGAGCACCGCCCTTCCCCTGAATGGGGGTCTCAGCCTAGGGCAGGCAGATGTGGGGGAAGAGATGTTTAAACAGGGTGAGGCTCTGAGGCTTTGGTATTAGTGGATAGGACAGTTTAATAACTGCACTTAAGAGTTGTCTGGAAAGTCAGAGTGCTTCCCCATGTAGTCGTCGAGTACACAGAAGCTCAGAAAGGTCAAGTAAATTGCCCAAACATGGAAATGAGGGGCTGGGTCCTGAAGCAGGAACAAATTCTAAATTCAAATTTGTGATTAGAGGCAGGACCACAGAGCGCCCAGGGAAAAGCCAGCCCCTCTTCCAGGCTCGGAATAGAACC